ATTAATAATTATTATTGTATTAGATATTCTATATAGTCTTTTAATTTTATGAGACAGAGAGATTTGAAGATAAATAATTGTACGGCCACGGTACGCGTCGTCCGTGGTCTGTTCGTAGTGCCTCGGAATTGCTGCTAATTGGTGCAGTAATTTTTAATTGTATTTTTCAGTTGTAAGCAACAGGTGCGTGTGTACGTTATGTAGGTACATGTGCATCATAAATGTTCACATAAAGGGGTATGCACGGATTCGCGTAAGACAAGAATGAACAACTTACAATTATGAATAAAAATATTACACGTGTAATATGATGCTCCTATTATATCCAGGTTTTTTGTTTTTTTTTTTAATTAAAAACGAAAAACGGATGAAATAAATGCATTCTTGGAGTGCGTTATCATGGGAATTTTAAGGATAAATATTTATATTGACGAGCCATGTCGTGATGAGTAATAGGTGTCACATCAAAGTGAAAAAAAAAAAAACCGACTCATTAGTTATTAAGTCTTGTACCGCGTGTACATATTGGTGAAGAAATATATTAAACGCATAATATATTATACGACGCGTATACTGTATGTATTGTGCGAGGCGCCAAAAATAAAAAATAAATTTTTTAAATCGTCAAACTGTATATTAGTATAACGAAGCTTTCTTTGAGATAATATTAGTAGCCTCTTTCGGGTTGTAATGAAAATTCGAAACACGCGTCTATGATGATCCTTTCTAATTTGCGTAAAGTTACGGCTGCGATGTATCTTATGATCAATCGACATTCATTATAATCGCGTCATCCTCTTTTCGTTTTAGTAAAAAAAAAAAAATTTTTTTTATCGTACCGCCAACGTTTTAGTGCCTCGTGCGATTGTAAAAAAAATTTATCCCTCGATACCTCACAGCAGTGTATCGATTTTTTGGCTTTAATGTACATTGTAACAAGCTCGTGGTGATACTTCAGAAAAATTTTTATATTCTTTAAAAAAGAAATACTTTAATTAGGCCTTTCGTGATTTAGATTAAACAAAAAATTAAATGATAAAAAAAATTAGGAACAAAATTAAAATTGGCGATTTGAATAACCAAGTAGAATTCGGTGTCTTAGAAGGAGAAAAGGAAACAATGCGTGGGCGCACGCACGAATGGACAAGACGAACAAAAAAATTGCACTATAGAGAATCTCAAGGTCACGAGCGCGCGCGCGCGCGCGGTTTCGCTCGTTATACAAAAGTAAGTGCAAAAGAACAGAGTGTGCGCGCACGCATGGAGTATTTCCTTTCTCCCTTAAAAAAAATTTTTTTTTTTTTTTACGTAATACGTATAATATATAGCCCTCGGGTCAGCGTTCAATGATGGCATGCGCGTCTCCCGTGGATAAGCATTTGGTGGTTTTCTCGCATACAGAACTTCCGGTACCGATGAAAGAATGCTCATGTAGACACACATTAAACACACACATTCGCGCTTTATTAATGGTAATAGTTATACATAAGGTGAAGCTCATCCTCCTACCTCAGTCTTGTTGTAGTGACAATTTTTTTTTTTTTTTTAAATAAGAAAGAGACTAATGACGTGAACCAATGTAAAATCGAATGTTGAATTTGCCCCAAAAGTAGGTCTCACCGATTCTGCTCGACTTCCACCCTCCTTTGACAGATCTTTCAACGGACCATAAGCTTTTTTCTGTTGTGATTATTTTTTTGTCATTTCATTTTTTTTTTTTTATTTTAACTACCCCGACTGTGGAAATTTTTTTTTTTTACTTAAAAGCGCGGGCGCGCTACGACTGACTGTGAGACAAGTGGCAAATATATGAAAAAAAAAAAAAAAACCATTCAGCGTTCACAAACTGCCAAACCGTACGTAATTTTTACTTTGTATAATCTGTACAGATCTGTTTTTGCCTCATTTTTTTTTCCTTAGTGTTTTTTATTACATAGTTAAAAAAAAATCACTTGTTTTTCATGCAGACATATTAAACGAGTAAAAGAATAGTGTTACAGTGTTCCTTTTTTTTTTTTAACTATATTGAAGCAACGTTAAGTTTGTATTGTGCGCGAGTGATCACGGAGTACGCAGAACCTCGGTAAACATATATATATATACATATAGGCGGTTTTTTCTTCCTTTCTTCTTATTCTTGTGTCCGTGTCGACGTTCCGGTTTTTTACATCAAAGTTTTTTTGCAGGTAGAAAAGCACACAGGTGATAATGTATGAGGCGTGCAATACTTGTAAAAGATTTTTTTTTAATTTTTTTTTCAAGTACATTGTTCTTCCAATAATAGAGAAATGACTATCGGATGTTGACACACAAGAGATGCAGCGGACCGTCGCTCGGAGGAAAAGAGCACTATTGGAGGAGTGAAAAAAAAAAATTGTTGTGTAAAATTTGCACATCAAAACACATTTTTTTCTTGATCGGTGTCTATTTATATATTTCATTTCAAACTGACGCCATCGATTCACGAGTTTCGTGTTTTATATTCTCCTGCATGAGTGACGTGTTTTTTGTCAAAAAGTTCGGCTGTTGTTGTCCCTAACAATAAGGAAAAATTCTCCGAGCGCCGGAAAGTATATCTTTCATAATTTACCCCGCACAAAACATCGTCAGACATAAACAGTGAACGAGATAAGGAACTTTTTTTTTTTTTTTTTTTTTTTCGTAAGACGCGTACTTAATTTTTCCTGCATTTATTACGTTTTAAGACCGATGGTGTCGTAATCAGTAGGTGCGATAAACACAAGTATATACATATTATATAGTACGTTTAAACGCGATGAAAGACTTTCTTTTGCGAAGCTTTAGTTGACTACGTAAGCAAGTGCTCTCTCTCTCTTTTATTGTAACCTCGCTCATTGTCATCGGGATCATTGGAATTCGCGTCAGAGTTAATAAGCTTTAAGATTTTATCCTTAGCTCTTTTTCTTTCCCCCGAAATCCTCTTTCATACTATTTTTTCCTTCTTCGTTGTTTTTATTGCATTTTAGAATGATATTGTTAAGGAGAGGAACAACGCATGGACAACATTCTTTTTTTTTCGTAGTGTATGATATATTCGAGTCTGATTCATCTCAGGCCAACTTATGTACATACGTACAGAATCTTGTTTTTTTTTTTTTTTTTTTTTTTTTTTTTTAAATCTTCATTATTATTCTTCATTGCCATCATTGTAATTATTTTTATCGCCAATTTATAATTATTATCATTATGACTATTAATATTAACTATGGATTATTTTATTTAGAACTATATTATTGCTACTATTATTACATATTTTTTGCTGCTACTATATATAGTTATTATTGTAATGATACCTTATCAACTCTCTGCGCCATAAACTCCGATCTTTTTTTTTTTTTTTTTTTTTTTCATTATTATTTTTATTGCAACAATTGTATTTTACGACGTTTGATTGAGATTCAACAACCTTAGCATGTTCGAAGTGAAAGAGAAAAATGTTACTAAAAGAGAATCGAGAAATGAAACGTTTGTTCGCGTGCGTGATGTATATGAAACATATATTAACCGAACGCCATTTTGTTTTGTTGATTGTACAATGTCGCCACCCTACCATTTTGTTGTTCTATTACATATATATTTATACAAAAACACGTATACGCCTATCCGCTACCATATTACGTATGACATATACATTATATTAATTATAGTTATTATTATTATTATAATAATTATTAGTAAAGGCCGTCTGAACGTTATGTACTATTATAAACATTAATCGTTACGATATCATTATAACATATATAGATGATAATTCGCAGTCACGTAAAATCCATCGTCGTGTATGTGTGTGTGATGTATGTGTATGAGAACGAATGCCATGATTTTTTTCTTTTTCTTCATGTGTAACATAGTTTTATGCACAGCGAACGTTTTTTCTTTCCGTTTTTTACATGTTTGTATAAAAATCAGCCAATCATCCCTTACGTCGATTGTCAACCGCTCCGCTGCATCACGGTCCCACGGACGATGCATTTCAGCCGAGGAAAGGAAAAAATATGCGTTGGATGCTCGTTGCTTTTTACTTTCTACTTTTACTCTTTTGTTGGCGTACAATTTACGTGGAAATCTCGATCTCTCGAGTTATACCATCGTTGGGTCGTCATTTTTAGTGGACCCACTCCTTCAAGTTATCAAAACGAGTAAGTTGTGCTTTTATTCCTCGATACGATAGTGCACCTTTAGAGCTACACATATACAATATTGCATTTATTTAGATGTATAATAATATATACGTACACTCGGAAAACGAGATTTCCACGAGGTAAATATTATTAAAATCTCAATTTCGCATGTGTCTTTATGTTGTTTATGTTTATGTTTGTATACGTATTGCACGAGACAGACCTAGCAAATTTATTTTTCTTTCGCCAATATGGATTTTCTGTTATGTAATTTCAGGTGCGTCGTGCCATAAGCGTGTGTAATTTTTTATTTTTTAGTGCGTCTTTCTGATTATCATTTTTTGTCACTGCACTGGGAAAAATAATATTTCGAAATAGTTTTTAGTCATTCAAACAGGTGCAATGCCCATCCACTTACCCGAAAGTGCGATGCAAACTTTTTTTTCCAAGCTTGTAGTGCTGAAAATTTCGTGCGCCTAACTTGTTGGTCCATGGAAGTTATGAAACTCGAGAGAAAGGGAACCGTAAAAGGAAAATGGGACGAGTACAGTTGGAAAAGCTTTTTGAAAACAGTTTGGCATCGAATTTTCACGGGTACACAAATAACTGCGAGCTAAACAAAAATAGTTGCAAGGATTTTTGCTGATTTTGTTCCGCGGAAACTATTTCAAAGCAATTTTTTTTTTCCCATGCAGATTTTTTCCTCTCCGTAAATGTTATACGCGTAGAATAATACATGCATACGTGACTATAGTGCGCGCGGCTGCGACGACTACGGCGATTTTCCCTGGCGTCCATTTTTGTTTTTCCACGTTTCCGTCCGCGTTTCACGAAAACGCGAGGCAACGAATTTTACTTTGCAGAAAAAAAAACTACGCGACACACATACACACATCTAGTTATGATATACATACTCAAACGTCTTCCTGTCTCTTGACGCAGAGAATAATAGCGAAAAAAAAAAATGATAAATAAATAAATCACAAAAATTGGCTAAACAATGTTGTGCGACACACCATTTAATTTTGTTTATCGAACCACATGGTATGTGTCGAAAGCATGTGTTATTATTTATAGATATCAATTGGGACTCATCGAACGTACAACAACGAGATCGAGTTTCGAGGAAAACCTTTTTCATACGAGTCTATAACAGATGTTGCAATCATATAAAAAAAAATATATATATACATATTGAATAATATATATTATACAGATAAACGGTTGAAATTGCCAAATTGTTGTGCGTTGTTGCGTCGTGCCGAGACTCGGTGTGGAAAAGAAAAACTACAAGTAGTGATAACTCGTCAATCGCCAAACGCTCAATACATACATAGTAATAGTAGGAATAATGTCGATACAACCTTTGTATAAAAGGAAACAAAGCCTTAGCTTGTAAGCCCGCGCAATATATTTATATATGTATACACAGATGAATTATCACTTTACAATACAACTGCAGATAAATGATGATATATTGTTTTTTATATCGCTCGTTTTTTATTAAAAGTGTAAATGCAATATGTTAAAAAAATAAATAAAAATAATCATATATATATATCGAAAAATTGACGAGCGTCGCGAGCGTATAACCACAAACAATTACTTTCGCGACCACGACACAAAAGAGTCTCGACACGTCACGATCGGCAATTTCAATTTTCATTCCTGTACCGATTTATTTTTCCGAAGCGTTCGCCTCTTCGTTGACGTACGATCGGTGGGTTGTGCGTTTGGAGTGGGAAGAAAAAAATTCGCGAGCTTTAATCCGAGGACGCGCCTCGGGCTATTTTTCTTTTTGTTGGTTCTTTTCTTCGAAACGTTAAAGCGACCGAGTGCAATACATGATGGTGTGGAGTTGCGCGTACAATCGAAAAGGACGATTTTTCATGTTGTGCGTTATCGTGACGTAAAAAAACAGGACATAAGTATGAGCAAAAATTGAGAGTGAAATTTTAGCGTAGTGTGTAACCATAAGATTATTTTGTCGAATGAAGTGCTACTTCTGCCCTGCCCCCCCCTTTTTTATATAATTTTTAATATTTAGAAAATAAATTATTATTTTTGTTTCAAATTAAATTGGCTGTTTTTTTTTCATTTCTAAATCACGATTGTATGTACATGTTAGTGAGTGAAATATATTATTATGATTTTTATTATTATTATTACAATTATTAATAATTTTTGTAAACGTGAGGAGAGCTTGCAAGTTGGAAAAAAATAATAAATGCGTATATGATTTGTTTGAGTTTCTTCTTAGCATTTTTTATTTTTTTTTAACAGAACGAAAAACAAAAAAAAAACGGAACCGCACTGCAAAGTAGTTAATTCCTGTTGACGCTCGCTAAACTAAAAAGATCAGTTCTCTCTGTGCACAATCTTTAAATCACTCGAGCTTTTTTTGCCACAATAAACTACTAAAAACTAAATCGCAAAAAAAGTATCTTTGCGTTGATAGTAAAAAAAAAAAAAAAGAGTTGTTTGTGTCGGAAAAAAAATCATCGGTATGCGCATCGAGAGCATAAATATCCATAAAATAACGATTCGACGTGGTCCTAAATATATAAAAACCTGAAAAATCGCAAGGAGAAAAAAAACGAACGTGAGAGAGATAAAGACTGCGATCTTTGTACTTTCAAGATACGTAAAGCAAATTTGGGGGAAAAAAAAGTGGACGAAAAAACGTCCACTCTCGACTCTCTTGTCACAAAAGTAAAAGACAGTCGTGGAGGGGAATGCGCTCTCGAGAGAGAAATCGGCTGTACACTCACTTATTTGGATTTGACATCTGTCTTAGCGTCAAACTATAGGTGGAATAGAGAAGAAGAGGGAGCTCGCTATATGTGCGCACAAAAATGGCACCGGCAAGCCCGAAATGTCTCGTAGCCACACCTCCATGACTGTCAAGTCCCAAGCGGACCGAAAACTTTGCAGGAGAGCGAGGGAAAGAGATGAGATGAACGTGCGTACACGTGGACATTTATAGATTTATATACATTATGTTAATGCTATTATTATTATTATTATTACTATTAATGATTTTTTTTTGTGATTGTCGAGAGAGTTGAAGTAAGCGTGTGGTCGAGGACGCGAGGCTCGGGCGGAAAAATCGTACGACGATAATATAAGAATACGTCGTCCGCGGGAGCCTCGTGGCTTGCGGCTGCTACTCTGTTCTGTTTTATTTTTCATTTTCACTTTTTATACCAATAAAACTTAAACAATAAACACGAGATGCCTTACAAATGTTTTTAGCTTTGTTTTGCATTATTCTTTTTATACATCTTTTCATTTTCACTTTTCGTTTTCCTTACTGTTCCTTTAGATTTTAGCCACTGTTTTTTTTCCTTTTTTCACTCGTATTAATGATTATACGTATAATTTTTTGTTTTTGTTTCATATTATTATTTCAATTGTTTTCTTTTGTTTTACTTGATGTTTTCACATGTACACAAACAACATTCAACATTCATGATTTTTCCATCTGTTCATATTAACTTCATTAATCTATACGAGAATGGAACTGTTTACAGGATACTATCGTACTGTCTGGTTGTCGATATTTCTATATAATTAAGATCTTCAGTGGTAAGTTTTTGCAAAGTTTTTCTACAGTAACACATAGCTTATAAATTTCACCTCAAATATTATTTTAATGGTAAAGTAAAGGTAATTTGACTAATTTTTAATAACATTGTGCAGCACACGCAAAAAGTACAAAACCGAGAAAAAATACGAAGCATAAAAAACTTTGTTCCGAAAAAAAACTAAGAAGAAAAGAAAAAAAAAAAAAAAAAAAAAAAAAAAAAAAAAAAAAAAAAAAAAAAAAAAAAAAAAAAAAAAAAAAAAAAAGAAGAAAATATCGTCAAAACACATGACGGCATCGCCGCGGAGATGCATAAACAGCGCCCCAAAAGAACGTCATTATTTCCATGCACGTCATCTCTAGGCCTACGCGAGCTCGAAAAAAATAAAGAACCCGAGGACGTAAAACACTATACAGCCGAAAAAACATCCATCGGCAACGACAAACAATTCCCGGGAAAAATATTACAAAACTAGACGCAAAAAAGCAAAAGTCATCGGTCCGCAATTTAGTGCGCGTTTCATCGCTTCTTTCTTCCCCCGCACAAAAATACATCCAAGGATCGGTTGTCCTGTCTATGCCGACTTGGGTAATTGATTTTTTATCACCACTAGTATCGATGAAAAAATAAAGAAATATTTTCCTGCACCCGCACTGTAGTCCAACGTCCCATAGATGCAATATGTTACCTCAAAACGTATGTAGAGTGCAGTCAAAAAAACGCATACGCTGAACGAAAAAGTAGCGAGAGGACCTATAATTTACAAAAAATATAGTTAGAACAGCCCCCCCCCCCCCAAAAAAAATGGGGAACTATATATGTATACCTGCATTCATAAGACTATACGGGGGAGAGTTCGCCGTCTGGGTGTGCATGCACGCATGCAAGAGAGGATGAGGAGAGGAAGAAACGAAAGAGGGCCTACTCGCGTACTATATATAATATACACCAACCTACGTCTCGGCTGGGCTGCACATACATACATACATATAGGTACACACGTCGTGGTCCGGCTGTGGATCCGGTTTGACCGGTTGCGCGAGATGTTAGATTTTCGCGGGATCGCACTTTCGGTTTCGGACTGTAAGTATGCGCCGGCCGGCCACGGTCGCACCCCCTCCTCTCCCGATCCGCGGGTCTCGAGTCTCTCTCTCCCGGTGTCCTTGAGCACAAAAGTTTCGTGCCCGTTCTCGAGGATACGTATGTATATATGTATATACGAAAGGCAGAGAGATCGCGCACAAAAGAACTTTGGGTGCTGCGATGATCGCGCGAGCCGGCCGCAGACGGATTGCACACGCGCCGTTTGATCGGCTGCTTTATTTATTATTCCGTTCATCAGCTCCTTTCTTCGGACGGTGGGAGCTCTTCTTCTGTTTTCTTTTTTTTTTTTTTTTTTTTTTTTTTTTCCATCGTTCCAAGGGAATGTATTTTTTTTCCTCCCCCCCCCGTAAAAAAGACCGATTGCCGGGAGGGTTTTGGGGATTAGCGGTAGCCTTCCCCTCGCGTTTCATCGGTGCGCTTTTATGATTTTACGGGTGTTTTTTTTTCTTCTTCTTCTGGGGACGCTGTGCCAAAAATTCAACTTTTGGAACGATGCGTCCATTCGCTCTAGGGCCCTCGATGCCAGGGCATATACCAACGCGATAAGTCTGCGCTCGTGGTTGTAGACTTTTATACCAGGGGTTTTACTCCGGTAAACGACA